GTTATTTTAAGAAACATTTAAAATCAATGCTACAATTTTGCAGTCGTGCTACAAATCAATAGCCAAAATGCAAAATAACAAATTGGTGCAGCAAAATTTTTTTGTACCATTCAGATTTCACTCTTCTTTATTATAATAATTTTTTTACATAAATCCTATGAAACCAATCTGTATTCAATGTAAATGCTAGCATAGGCTAAGGTTAAACAACATCCAGAAATAATAAATACTGTTTACCTTTTATCAACTTGCCCTCCAAATCAAGAATCAGCAGATAAAACAAAAAGACACTAGAAAAACAAAGCTTATATGAAACTAAACCAATTTGCTCTTTATTCAGCTAAATTACTCTCAATAGCTGGAGTTGCTATTTTACTTAAGTATTTTAATGCAAGAGAGAGTATGGATTATTCTTAAAAATACCCACATAAAAGTTTATAGAACTATGCAGTAAAACTACTCCTAAAAATACTTATTTTCTGTTAAAAAGTACTCAAGTAAATGTTACCAGATATATATATATATGTGTAGTTTCGTCCAACCTCTTTCCAGAGATGTTTGGGCAAGAAACAGAGTACAACCTGAACAGGTTTGTAGTCCATTAATGCAGTTTATCAAATCTGAAACAAATTATTTGCTTCTGTATCTAGAATGTCAAAAAATTAGTTGCACACTTGCACAACAAACCCTTTTGGTAACTGATGCGAAAGAAATTGATTAATACAAAGAAAGAAGAAGGAGGGAGAGAACAACTAGTGCTCAAGTGAACATATTTGAACTTTGAGAAATAAATAATACAGATATATCTGTCTAGCAATGTCATGGTGGAGCTGCTTTGTTAAAATTCCAGCACACCATCAGGAAAAGGATGATTCTAAGAAAGATGGAATGAGAGAGCAAAAGCATGAATAAAATAACCTCATAGGGCTTGATGCATATCTCTTTTTATTTTTAGGTGGTTATAAGCAAATCAAAATGATTTAAAGCAGTTATAAAGTTTAGAAAAAGGATGTTTCTTTCTCATTTTTATGTTAAATTCCAGAACTTAATCCAATTCTAAATTAGGATGAAGATTTAAAAATTGCACTATTCATTGCTCATCTGCTCTGACAGAGCTGTTCATATAAATTTTTTACATATTTCTTTTCACTTCACTGTCGGAATTGCTTTTTATCTTGGCTATCAAAAAAGTAGTCTAAAAAGCATACACTGCTTTCGATTTCAGTAAACCTTTAGACTTATTATTTTAAAGATAATGGTAAATTCATTTAAAGATAATTGTCCAAGAGGGCTAATTTAATATCCCTAACACCCAAAAATATATTAATACACACTGCAACATCCCCAAACAAAAGAATACCATCACATTCGCTGAAGCCAACAATGTCCCTGACAGCAATGTCAGATTAGAGTTTAATGCAGAAAAAAATCTGAGGATCGCTAAAGTCAGATAGCAATATCAATATCCATTTAATGGATGCTGAAATGTTTTAATTTGGGCTGAAAGTACAGACAATCAGGCCATTCCAATAAAGAAAATACCAGTAATGACCATGAAAAGAAGCATGAAACAAAGATGAAAATGAGCTTGTGACACACATAACATTAATCCATTTACACGAACATAGGCAGAACAAAGAAAAAGACTTAAGCTCAGTCTGTTTTAGCTGTTTTACAGGACATTCAGTCTTTCCTCCAGCAAGAAAAGGTTCAGAAATGTATTGTGTGACATCAAGATGAAAAGATGGAGACTAATCACACAGTTGTGTTCTGCTGCTCTCATATAGTTTGTTACGCGCTTCCCTCCGAAGTCAGGCGCTGTTTCATTTCGGTTCGCTGCTCTAACATGGTTATCTCTTTATTAGATCACTGCTGCATTATACATTATGTATAGAGTTGATGTCAGGGGACCAGATTATACGAGTCAACAAACAAACAAAAAATAAATAAATAAAAATGTTTTGAAAAATAATTTTAATGTTTTTCAGAAGTAGCAGAACATTTTATCATTTATTCAACCATAAAAAAGTAAAAAATCTGTTTTTCAAGCGAGTTGAGGCCAAAAGGCAGCAACAAATATAATACGCTGCTGAAATGTTTTCTAGTTCTTGTATTAATATTTGTTTGGTCCTATTAACCTGGGGAGAGTTGTTGGTTTCCCAGGTCTAGTTTAACCAGTTACAATATGAATGTATACTTTTTGTTTGAAATACGTATCTATAATCTTCAGAAAAAGATGCAGACGGTAGGAGTAGGTGGAGACTCACGATTCATTGTGACGACCCATAAAAGGGGTCGTCACAATGTTCTGTTTGATCTTCTCAGACAAGCAAAAATAAACCTGCTGATGAGATCTGTGTCCCTTTAATTCATGTCATTTAGGTGCGATGTCCTTTACTTTTTAAAAGTGGCTCTGCTTTGGAATACCTCACTCAAATAGTTGGTACGGCTATGGAAAACTTGACTGTACATACAGAGGAGGTAATAAAGCTGTTTAATTCAGGTGTTAAAGTAGAGACACATTGAGGAACCCCTTCAAAAAAGTAAAAAAAAAATAAATAAATAAATAATAATTTTATGCTTTTAAATTTTTTTTCTAAAAAGTTCAGAGCTGGTCCAAAGACTTCATGCGCTCCTGATTAACTCACTCACTAAGCCGTCGCTGATGTTAAATTGATATTATCCTGTTAGTTTCCAGGTTTTAACCATCTAGATGATGATTGTCATCATTCCCGCCACCATGCTTGAAGTGGCGGGGGGAATTGGTTGCACAAATAAACTCATTGATTCGCCCAAATTTTCTTCGGCTGAATCAAAACACCTTGAAATTATAGTTTTTGGGCTAAAAGATGTACGTTCAAAGTCAGCACACAGTTATAGTTAAAACGTTAGAAATTATCAATCAGGCTCCAGAACCTGACCTGAACCGTCAGAGGCTCATAAAGACAGTAAAAAACTTGGCCTTCTATCACCTAAAGGACATTTTTAGGATTAAAAGAGTAATGTCTCAGCAGGACCTTGAAAAATAAAAGTAATTTGTTAATCTTTGGTAGAACTGATTACCGCAACAGTTTCTTCTTGGGTTTGCCTAAAAAGTCAACCAGACAGCTGCTGCTGATCCAGAACACTGCTGCCTGCGCCTTCACCCCACCTTAAAGTGAAGCACAACAACCATTAAAATCATTACACTTCCTCAATGTATTATAGAGCAATGCAATGCTTCTGTAAATCTATAAATCACTGGATGGTTTAGTGCACCAATAACCTTCTGGCTCTGATCTACTTTATATAACCAGGAGCGGAACCTAACGTGGAGATGAACATTTAGTTCTTATGCTCCAGTAAACTGGAATAAATTCCCAGAAAACAGTAAGAGTGCTGAAACCCTTGGTTCCATAGAATGGAAATTAAAGAGGACATTTGTTTAGAATGGCTATGAGCTATTTAAACATTAGTTTATATTTGTAGTGCAACTTTTGCTCCATGATTTTAATAATTGTATCTCTTTTATGTAAATCTATTCTTTTAATGATTAGCTTGTTATAATAATAATAATAATAATTGAACTTTATTGATCTCACATTGGAGAAATTAATCTCTGCATCTAACATTTAACCCATCCCCTTGGGGAGCAGTGGGCTGCCATTGTGTGGCACCCGGGGAGCAGTGTGGTGTTAAGGGTCTTGCTCAGGGACCCAGAGTGCAGTGGGTACTTGCAAATTTCTCAGAGCAAAGGCGCACTGCTCTGACCCACTAGGCCAACACTCACCTCATCTTTAATTCTCTTTAATTATTTGCCATGTCTCAGTTTCACTGAACTTTTCTGTAAAGAACTTTGAATTGTCTTGCCACTGAAATCTCCGATATAAATTGAACTTGCCTTGACTTGTCTTAAGGTATTTGGTTTGATGATATGGGCAGTTGCAAATTTCAGTCAGGATTGATAGTTGATTTCAAATCAAGGAGAGTTTTATCTAATGCTACTCTCTGGTAAAACTGACCTTATTGAGATGCTGGCATTCTATAGTTCAAGTTTATGTAATGCTTGCTGGTTCTGTGATGATTTTGTAAATACCAACAGATTATTCTTTTATTTGAGGGTTAAGAGTTTTCGTCAGACTTTTTATTCTTGAACATGATTCGGGTTCCTTCAAATCAGTTTAAAGACAAAACTGATTTTTTTTGAAGGGTTAAAACAATCTTGCATGAAATAGCTGGATTAACTCTAACCTTGAACCTGTTGAAAACATGAGGGTGCATTAAGATAATTAACAAATGACCAAGTCAGTTTTGAACTAACATCAGTGCCTCTTGCTACATTACATGATTGTTAAAAGATCATTTGATTTTAGGAATTTATTCAAAAACTACAATTAATGCATAATATAGGTCCATCCGTTCATATCATTTGTTTGTTGTTGTTGTTTTTTTTTATTCTGTTGACTTTGATAATTGTGGCACAAACTACTTGAAAAATCAGAATCTTTGTCTGTTAAAAAAGTAGAATAGGAAATTAGAATAATCATAAAAATATATATTTTATTACATAAATGCTGCCAAAGGAGAGGCGTCATTTTGATATATTATGCAATGGAGTGAAGTATTTCTATTAGTACTTTTTTGTTATGGAATTACCTAAGATATCAAACTTGCAAGAGCATTACATGCTTAAAGACAGATAACAGTCAGCTGAACAAGACATTAAATTTAACTCCACCATTTCTGATACGAGGAGTAGTTAGATACAAGAGTAATTATTCATTAATGGCCACAACATTATTTTAGATTTCTCTGCCATTTTTTAGGACACCAATTTCTAAACATTAACACCCTATTCTTTTTTATAACGTTTTTACATTGCTGAAGTTATTTGTTGTAAAACCTTCCATACTGATAAAGGAAGAGCTAAAATGCATCATTAGAATATTGTGATAAGCATAATAGTAATTTGTTAAAAAAAATCATGATTTATTTATTGCGTACCTCTGTCTTGTCTCCAGGCAACATCTTTGTGGTGAGCTTGTCTGTAGCAGACCTGGTGGTGGCTCTCTACCCGTACCCCCTGGTGCTAACAGCTATCTTCCACAATGACTGGACCATGGGAGACCTACACTGTCAGGCCAGCGGCTTTGTCATGGGGCTGAGCGTCATCGGCTCCATATTCAACATCACGGCCATTGCAATTAACCGTTACTGCTACATCTGCCACAGCCTCCACTACGACCGTCTCTATAGCCTGAGGAACACCTGCTGCTACCTGGGCCTCACATGGTTGCTCACAGCCATCGCCACAGTGCCCAACTTCTTTGTCGGGTCTCTGCAGTACGACCCTCGTGTCTACTCCTGCACCTTCGCTCAGACTGTCAGCTCGTACTACACCATCTCAGTGGTGGTCATCCACTTCCTGATCCCACTGCTTGTGGTGTCCTATTGTTACATGCGTATATGGGTTCTGGTGATTCAAGTGAAACATAGAGTGAAACCGGAGCAAAGGACAAGACTGAAATCCAGCGATGTGAGGAACTTCTTGACTATGTTCATGGTGTTTGTGTTGTTTGCTGTGTGCTGGGCTCCCTTGAACCTTATAGGCCTGGCTGTAGCTATAAACCCTGCAAAAGTAGCACCCAACATACCAGAGTGGCTATTTGTCACAAGCTACTTTATGGCATATTTCAACAGCTGCCTCAATGCCATCATTTATGGAGTACTAAACCAAAACTTTCGTAAAGAGTACAAAACAATCCTCCTTGCTCTTTGTGTTCCACGTTTGCTCCTCATGGAAACATCCAGGTGTGCCACAGAGGGGCTGAAGAGTAAGCCGTCACCTGCTGTCACGAACAATAACATAGCTGAAATAAATGTATAAATTGATGTTACACTGAGCAAGTACTAGTGCCATGTTTCACTCAGTGCCTGTTGTGGACGTGTTTTTCTTGTTTATATCTGTGGAGAGTTTTAGTTATTCCCCATACCTGTGCACAGTTGGAACTTGGGGGGGAAAAAAGTACTGAGTTTTCAAAGTAACATCAGTGCCTCTTGCTACATTACAAGATCCTGAAAAGATCATTTAATCTTAGGAAATTCATTTAAAAACTACGACAAATGCATAATATAGGTCTATCACGCACGTTAATGTAATTTGTTTAATTTCTTTAAAATTCTGTTGTCTTTGATCATTTTGTCTCACAATACTTGAAAAACACAAATCATTGTCCATTAAAAAAATAGAATATGAAATGAGAATAATCATAAAAAATATATATATTTTATTATATAAATGCTGCCAAAGGAGAGGTGTCGTTTTCTATACCTTATGCAACTGAGTGAAGTAGTTCTACCAGTAGATCTTTTTTGTTCTGAACATAAGATATTAAACTTGCAGGAGTATTATTTGCAAATGCGTTGTTTTCTGTGTTCTTGTTTGAAATCACCAGTTTATGTTGTTTGCTCTTAAACAGGATTCCCTCTCTGCAACATTTAGCATGTTGATTGGCAGAGAGGAAGAAAAATAACAACCATTGGTTAAAAATAACAAAACAGATCAGAAGTGGAAGAAAACTACTTTCCTGGATATTTTTAAAGGATTTTATTGCAGGTTTTATTTTTGTCAAGAATCTATTTTCTACCACAAAGAACGTCTTCTTTCCTACTTTTTCTCCTCTTTCCTTGCCATCTCAAACACAGCATTAATGAAAGAAAGCCCAGAGCTTTGTAATTTTCCGTCAAATACAATCTTTTTAAGCTTTAATGATCAATTAATTACCAAAGACTTAACGTTCTTATTTGGATTAAGTGGAACAAAGTTTTAAGTAGCCTTTGATTAAATCTGCAGTGAAGTTGTCAAAGTAATATTTCCTCTATGGCTTGTGTTAACATCTCAGGCTTATTTTAATAGAAAACATGTTATTTAAGCACCACAACAAGGTTTCACTGCCTACACAAAAATTGAAATATTGAAGAAACCTATTTTATTCAAAACCCTCCAATGGTTTTGAATTAGAAAAAATGTGTTTGAATGGAAAATTGCGTTGCAGTCTAAGAATGCTTTATTCGAGACACTTTATCTTTTTCATACTTTGCCTTTTTAAACTGACGGGCTCAAAGCCCGTTTTGAAAATTACTCTGAATGATTTGGAAAGTGTCAAAAGAGGAAGAGTAGCTGATAAACAAAGCTGGCCCTCTTGTTTATTAAATGCCTTGGAGACATGGGATGCATCAGAAGCCAGGGAGATGTAATTTCATGATAATGCAAGTATGCCTTAGCGCATGTCACCCTCCCTGAGATGAGCTCTGACAGCCTCCCAGCATAGCTTCCACCCCCAAAAACAAACTATGAGCATTTCACCATACAGGGAGCCTCAGAGATGACTGCATGACACATTCTTGAAATGATGCACTCTTTGTTGAAATATTAAAGATTACCCTTTCCAAATGACGCACTCAGGATTTATAAACTTTCTAAGAGTATAACATTTCACATTTACTCAGAGATCCATCCGTTGACTTTTTGACACTGAGCTGTGGTTTATGGCCTCTGAGCTTAGATAGGATGTTGGATGTCAGAGTCAAACGAGTCAAGCGTAAGGAGCCAGGTGCTGTCAAGTTTCTGAGCTGCAAAAGGGGCCACATAACTGTTCTCTTCTACTTCTTACAAATAAGTGACTGTGACGTGCAAAAGAAATGCGGCGCACATGCCAGGGAAATGTCAGCTACTGGTTAGCAGCTAAAGCAGCTCGGGGGGATATGACAGCAGTTGCTCTACCACAACAAGTACTTATACACAAATGGGTCAACCCCCTCCCCACCAACGCCATTCTGCCTTCTGCTGCTATTTATTCTTTTCATTTTTTGCTCTTTTATTTATTTTTCAGTTTACTTAGGCTACTGTCATAGAAAGAATTTCTGTCTTTTAAACCGTTCCTTATTTTAGCACAGTCCATTCACAAACTTCATTGGATTAAATTGGCATTTTATTTGATAGATATGGTGGCCCTGAAGTCCAAACCATATCAACACTAACTAGGCAAATCTCTAAAACATAAAAGAATCATATAACATTAACTAAAACAAAACTACAAAACCAGAACCACTCCGACATTTAATGAAACCTCAACCTTATACTACCGGTAGAAGTAGGGATTAGTGGGAAACATAAACATCTGTGATGGACTCTAGCTTATATAATCTTAGAAACAGAAGTTTTTCAGCTTGCGGTGCCGATTTAAAATGATTGATGTTATCGGTGAATCAATTATCATTTAAAGAAGGATTATCACACTCTTTGATCTAGCCAACCATGGTCATGTGGCAAAAAATAAATTCCTTCTTCCCTCTGAGATTTTTAGTAGTTATAGAAATTTCATCTCATAAATGATCTCCCTGGCTATGCATTTTGTAGGATCGAAGGGGATATTTATTACTGTTCCAAATTTTTGACATGAGATTGCGAACACATCGTAGAATACTGCCTGAGGGAATCATTTTTGCAGGAAGCAATGCAATCAGCTGAGTTTCCTTAAATAGAAAACGTTTAACCGATATTTCTCTATAATCGAATTAAATGTAATTGAAAGGAGTTGAATTGAGCTGAATTAAATAAAATTAAACAGATTTGAATCACATAATGATAATAATCTGGGCTTGAATCAAATCAAACTGAATAGAACATAACCCCCTTTATCAAGGTGTAATCGTACAAGAGCAAGTTCTTTGTTCTATTCAGAGAGTTACTCTGTAACCTGTGGAGATGATTTTACTCTGGGAAATTTGTCATAAATTGATTAACATTGCAGATAACAGTGATCTTTGTCAGAAACTTACAAGACTCATAACCTTCACAAGATCCTTTCTGCATATATCAATGTTTTATTATCACACGCAACTGAAGATTAAATAGGTAGACACAGGGTTAAAGTGCGCACTTAAGATTGAAGACATGGATTCATAAGCAATAGCTCAGCCAATGATTCCCCCCAAGACCATGTCAAAGCTCGAACCACAAAAAAACTCCAAATCCATTCTGCCATACGATCTTATGGAACATTGGGTGCTTTGATGTCAATAGCAATCAGCACTCTGAAATGAATGGCACCATGCAGACAACTTTAGATTCTCCTGGACTGTACCTCCGATAGCCTAAGACAGATCAAAGGTCATTTTTGGTGGGACTGATGCAGCAATATGACCAATATGACAAAAGTAAGAGAGGAAGTACTGTAAGATATGTAAATCTGTATTTCTATATCTTCGTACTTGAACGTGACATCTCAAGAATTCAGTCGTTTTTTCTAGTTGGAAAACATAAAAAGGTGTGAAGCACATAGAGTTGAGAGCAACAGGTGTCACTAGAAGTGTTTCTTGGGTGACAGAAGTGCCAGGAACTTAAAGCTGTATTAAAGAGCTTTTGGTTTTGGTTGGTTTTGGCTCCTTCCTGAAGAAAAAAGATGCATTGTTTTACCAGAAGGAAGACTGCATTTCCCATGTGGAGCAGCACATAGCGTGATAAAATCCTGATCTCATGGTCGCTTGCAGTTAGATTAAACTTCATTTCTGTTTCCAGTGGCTGTGTTAAAGATAAATAGCGATGAGGTGAATTGTGGCAAAGCAACGTCATATAATGGTGTTGAAAATGAACGTTTAACCTTAATCTTGTTCTGTATTCCGCAATGTGAGTTTAAGAGTGCATCTGGTCTGAATTAGGCCATAAAATAACTCTCTACATAGTGTAAATCTATTCAATTCAATTCAGATATTTATAGCGCCAATTCACAACACATGTAATCTCAAGGCACTTTACAGAGACAATTCCACCAGATCATATAGTCAGATTGGTTCAGTCATCTAAGGAAAACTAGGTGATTGCATCGACTTATTGACTTGAGTGTTATGAGTCGATCCGGTTGTTGTTCTAATAACTCTAATAGAGTCAATATAATTTGACACTGCATATTTAACACTGTGAAATATTCCAGACTTGCATTGGTGACGTGTTAATGTTACTCAGTGGGCCTGTTTACAGCAGCCTTGCTTCTGCAGCTGTGGCTACAATGTATCAGACAACATTAATTTCCACTGTTATATTGATTATACTGACCTACACTATATTGCCAAAAGTATTTGCTCACCCATCCAAATTATTGGAATCAGGTGTTCCAATCACTTCCATGGCCACAGGTGTATAAATTCAAGCACCTAGGCATGCAGACTGTTTTTACAAACATTTGTGAAAGAATGGGTCGCTCTCAGGAGCTCAGTGAATTCCAGCGTGGAACTGTGATAGGATGCCACCTGTGCAACAAATCCAGTCGTGAAATTTCCTCGCTCCTAAATATTCCACAGTCAACTGTCAGCTGTATTATAAGAAAATGGAAGTGTTTGAGAACGACAGCAACTCAGCCACGAAGTGGTAGGCCACGTAAACTGACGGAGCGGGGTCAGCGGATGCTGACGCGCATAGTGCGAAGAGGTCGCCAACTTTCTGCAGAGTCAATCACTACAGACCTCCAAACTTCATGTGGCCTTCAGATTAGCTCAAGAACAGTGCGCAGAGAGCTTCATGGAATGGGTTTCCATGGTCGAGCAGCTGCATCCAAGCCATACATCACCAAGTGCAATGCAAAGCGTCGGATGCGGTGGTGTAAAGCACGCCGCCACTGGACTCTAGAGCAGTGGAGACGCGTTCTCTGGAGTGACGAATCGCGCTTCTCCATCTGGCAATCTGATGGACGGGTCTGGGTTTGGCGGTTGCCAGGAGAACGGTACTTGTCTGACTGCATTGTGCCAAGTGTAAAGTTTGGTGGAGGGGGGATTATGGTGTGGGGTTGTTTTTCAGGAGCTGGGCTTGGCCCCTTAGTTCCAGTGAAAGGAACTCTGAATGCTTCAGCATACCAAGACATTTTGGACAATTCCATGCTCCCAACTTTGTGGGAACAGTTTGGAGCTGGCCCCTTCCTCTTCCAACATGACTGTGCACCAGTGCACAAAGCAAGGTCCATAAAGACATGGATGACAGAGTCTGGTGTGGATGAACTTGACTGGCCTGCACAGAGTCCTGACCTCAACCCGATAGAACACCTTTGGGATGAATTAGAGCGGAGACTGAGAGCCAGGCCTTCTCGTCCAACATCAGTGTGCGACCTCACAAATGCGCTTCTGGAAGAATGGTCCAAAATTCCCATAAACACACTCCTAAACCTTGTGGACAGCCTTCCCAGAAGAGTTGAAGCTGTTCTAGCTGCAAAGGGTGGACCGACGTCATATTGAACCCTATGGATTAGGAACGGGATGTCACTTAAGCTCATATGTGAGTCAAGGCAGGTGAGCAAATACTTTTGGCAATATAGTGTATATTTGTCCATTAATCCTGATAAGTGTTGACACTAGTGTGTGATGTTAACTTTAGATACAATTCACAACTGTTATATTAATTTCACTTTAAACTATTAAGACTGTTTCCGACTCTTTCACAGTGTTATTTGTTTAAATTTTTTTATTTCAACACGTTTTAATTCTCTGTGTCGTATACAAGGGGCAGTAGCACAACAAAAATGTTGACTGAG